GAGTGGGTCAGTGACTGCGTTCCACACTCCCCGGCCGGGCTAAATATAGATAACTAATACGATCAATAACAGGCCATAAAGTATGTTTAATGTGTTCATGATACTACAACAATACAGATGTAAACATAGCTTTAATAAGGAATATGTGTAGACATATTAAATAATGATTGTTGTTGTTGTTAAACTGCAGGTATCCTTTAGATAAGAATATTAAATGTACAGTAAACATGCTGAGTTAATTGTTATAACTGTAAGTCTGTTTTTTTAATGAGAACTTACTCGTTATCCACACATTTCTTTAAATACAGATACAGATGTTTAACCCATAGCAGCTGTGGTAATCTAAATGTAAACAATAGTGGAATAAGATTTAAAAGTTACATTTAGCCATTGTGAATGCTTCTGACCACATGCAGAGCCCCTGTGAACGCGCTCTGCTGCACTCACTCAGTTAACAGGGCTTAATGACTGATTGGTCAGCTGATTTGGATCAATCTGATATATCTGATATGTGATGATATATAAAGACAGTCAGACTGAAGCTCAGTGAAACCCTCACCTCAGGGAACGCTGCTGAAGGCTCTGGACCCCCTGCTGGTTAGGGGAGATGCAGAGAGGTGGATGGAGGCAGACGATCTGAGAGTATGTGTTTACCAGGTTATTGTGTGTGTGTGTGTGTGTGTGTGTGTGTGTGTGTGTGTGTGTGTGTGTGTGTGTGTGTGTGTGTGTGTGTGTGTGTGTGTGTCAGATAGCGGAGCTGGTGGTGGATAACAGCCGCTCAGCAGACGGTCAGGTGGAGGGTCTGACGGACGCCTTCACTGAGCTGGAGTTCCTCAGCATGGTCAACGTGGGCCTGAGCTCTCTGAGCAAACTGCCCTGTCTGCCCAAACTACACAAGGTACACACACACACACACACAGGTTTTAAAGAGGGCCTGCTGATGTTGATATTAGTATTTAGAGTTTCTACTGTGATCCTATTGGTTCCCAAACGTGCTGCTGTTAGCATGTTAGCTTGTGTTATGTTGACGTCCTCTATTTCACAATAAAGGTCTCACATGGTGCTGAGTTGATAGTTAGTATTTAACCCTTCACATCACGAGGTCAGGGTTTATACGCTGGGGCGTAAACTAAAATAAATAGTACTTTAAAGTAAAAGTACTTACTTTTTTACTTTAAAGTACTAAAAAGGAGAGCTGGTATCCTCCTGCTGTCTCCTCAGTGTGATGTGAGGTAGTTAGCTACAGAGAACGCTATCTGGTGTTAGCTTAAGGTGTGTGTTCAGAAGGATTTACCTGTCCAGGTGTTCACTCTCCTGTTAGAAGTGACCTCAGTCCTCTCTCCCCCTCCTCTGGTTCAGTATCTGAGAACATGATCGTTTTAAAGAGATCCTAGGTTTCATGATTTATAAATCCCAGGAGCATCAGGTGAACCCTCCTCAGGTGAGTGTCCAGGTGATGTTAACCTACTTCCCGTTTCCTGTGCAGCTGGAGCTGAGCGACAACAACCTGTCCGGCTCTCTGGAGACGCTCTCAGAGAAATGTCCAAACCTCACCTACCTGAACCTGAGCGGGAACAAGATCAAAGAGCTGAGCAACGTGGAGGCTCTGGTGAGAGAAACACACACACACACACACACACACACACACACACACACACAGTGAGACATATTCACACACACACACACACACAGTGACACAAACACACACACATACAGACACACACACATATAATATACAGACACATACACACACACACACAGACACACACACATAATAATA